TGTTAGCTGGTGATATATTATAGGGTGGGCAATATTGAGGTTAGGCTTCGGTCGAGTGGCTAGATAAGGAAGGAAGGAAGGGAAATCAATAGACGAGGCTGTGAAGTTACATCGACTGAGATGGTTAGGATGTGTGTTACGCATGCATGCATGAGAATGACGATTTTAGGCCATATCACCAATTGTCTCCAGTGTTCACTGGTGTTTATCATCCTGAGGACTTCAGCCAGGAAATCTACACCTTCCTACGTGGCTCGACCGATAGCTGCTACTTTGACGTGGTGGTCTCAGGGCTTGCATATCTCAATGACCCAACAAGCTACACTGGCTGGAACCATTGTCCATGCTAGAATGGTCGTTAGGATAGCGATCAGACTAAAAGCAGTTACCTGCTTAGTGTAAGAATTTTGTTTTGCACAATGCTGAGGGTCTGTTGAAGAAGTCGTAGTGCTGGGGAACAGGGGTGTAACAGCAGTGAGGTGTTTCCTTCACTCGGATGACCAGCATACCAGCCAGCTACGCTGTTTCTCCACTCTGGAGAGAGGGGGTTAAAAAGGTCGACCTCAAAAAATGTGCATCCTGACTTACCGCCACGTCGTTAAATTTACCAATACGGAACCAATCGAAGAAACCAGGTTAGATGTGTGCGGCTATTAACACCACTGCTACTGAGAATTTCGAAATATTCTTGTGTGCGTCGGTGGCACACCGGTTAGGACTCTCACCGATCATGCACATGGTGCAGGGTTCGACCTGCTGCCGACGCACATCCGATGTCTGTCTGGATTCAACATAGAACTTGGCACCGAAGTGCACCAGTTCGAGTTGCCACCTTCCAAATAGCACACAAAGGTAGACAAGAAGATGAGTGAAGAGAATCAATAGAGTTTGACAAGTATAAGAGTGAAACAGAATGAGTAATGGTAGAAAGGAATACGAAAGATTACAGAGACTGAATACATCTGCGCTGGCCATTGACAACGATTTTGAGCCATGTCACCTATTGTCTCCAGCCATTGATTCCTAGAGTCAGTCCCGAGGGCCCCAACCCGGAAGTCTGCATCTCCCTACCTGACTGACTCAGTTTAACTGTCAAGGATTTCATGGATTGATGAGGCCATGTTTTTGTTTGGCCACCACTTACTCTTTTCCAACCTGAACCTTCTATACCAGCTAGTAATCCCCATCGGACGGGGGGGCGATGGTTAGGCATGCGCATCACGTGACCTAGCCATCTCAATCTATGTAGCTTTATAGCCTCGTCGATTGATTTTCCCTCTTTGCCCAACACTCTACGCCTAACGTCAACATTACTTACCTTATTAAACCACCTAACGTGAGACAGAGATCGCAGACATCGCACATCCGAAATCAATGGTTGGCCTGAAAAATTGGGCTATGGATATCATACGCTGAAAATTTCTTACTTGTACCAAAAAATACGGTGCGGAGTTAAGCTATAATAAAAAAAAAGTACCGCTCTGTATTCCACACTGGGATTTTGAAAAAAATAATCGAATCGAATAGGTATCCATTCAGAGACTTTATACAGACACAGGATATACATTGATCAATGGGGAATTACAGACATGGATAAATTATCATACAATTATATATCCCATTGCATCATACTTTGACATGTTGTGAAGTGATGCCCACTATCATCCTGTGGTCAAGTCTGAGTAAGGAGCATATACATCAAACAGGATGAAATCAGGATTCTGGATTCTCCTGTTAGTCACTACCATCTCGCTAGCAAACCTTTAACCAATTAAATGTGTCTGCAAATCAATCTAATACTCACTAGAGATTGACTGTGTTTGTATACGAAGGCACCTGAAATTCTAGTGAGAAGTCCTAAGCAGTAGGCTCCATCAAGTCAGGGTAAGAGAATACTTACTCGCTGATAACATCGGTTGGTGGTTACGCTAATGTATATTGGGAATTGGCAGAACTTAGAATTCATGGGCCATTGGATAATTGGGTCTTAGTTTCTTCTTTCCTTCACGTTCCCAGTGGAACATAGGGCTTCAAGCTAGAGGCTTGAAGATTCCGTAGCAGTGTTGATTTTTACAAGATGGGGTTGCTAGCCTCATGCCCAAGCTTTCCTCTTAACCAGCATTATTTCTGGCGTAGTGAGGCAAAGGAGTGCGTCGGCCGGGGATCTAACTCCGGACCACGTGCATGGTCGGCGAGCGCCCTAACGGCTATGCCACCGACGCCCAATTGGGTCTTAGTGGCTAATCTGTAAACTTGCCTTTTTAACTGGAGGATCATCAGTTCTAACCGCGACGGGTGCGTAGTTCTGGAGAGTCCCAGACCAGGACGAAACAACTAACTGTCCAGTTTTCCCAAGTGGTTTTCCAATAATTCTCTAACTGATATCGGCTCGTGATGAAACCTTTATTATTTTTAACGAGTTTGACCACGGATTGATATCAGTTATCAAAACAACTAGTTGTTTGGGACAATCAAAAGGTGGACAGATATACCCACCTCATGTTACCTTCAACTATGTATGTTGCATGTTGTACGTACCAAAACACACACATTGGAAGAACAGAGAGAGAAGGATTATTGCCGGCATTTCTGAACACATACATACCAAAGAACCTGAGACTGAAAGGTCCGCGTCACCTATTGAACGCTTGTCATATTGTAGTAGTCAACCTGAAGTCGTTCAAACTAATCAAAAAGCAAAAGAAACCTAGGTTGTTATGCTTTGCTGAAGCAATTGCTATCAAACGACTTAAAGCAAATCTATGTACGCAGAAACAGACAGTGGTGAATCTTGCACTGCCCTGGTGATAGCAAAAAAATATACACATTTTCATGAGTCAGTATACAATTGGTGGATGGTGGCTAGCAGTGGAATCCAGCCAGGATGCGCATTTCGTCCTATTTGGGACTCGTCATCTGGATGTACCTGCATTTCTCAGTGAGTGATGATATTTCCACCGAGGCTCGAACCCAGTACCCATAAATTCAAACGCCAAAGCGTTATCCACTAGACCACTTGGGCCACGAGAGCCACCTCTCGTGCAACGGGTCATATTAATTACTGACGAGTCCCAAATAGGACGAAATGCGCATCCTGGATTCCACTGCTAGCCACCATCCATCAATTGTATACTAACTAAATGCCCGGACATCGTCGAAGCATCTTCACAAGAAGCCGACATGTCAACCTGAGACCGAGGACTTCGGTCCAATCAATCGACGGGAAAATCAAGAATTCAATTCAATAATTTCATGAGTCACCCTATTTTCATGTTTAGAAAAATCTACTCTCTCATCTAAACATGACTCACACTACCTTGTTTCTTTCATATACTTTTTCATCGTTCAGGTTGTAACCAGTTGAGAAGAATCCTCGATTAAATAATAAAAGATGAGCTCATATTATCTTCTGGTACACAATTGTTGTTCTTGCTTTGTTGAAGTTTATTAATGAGAAGAATTGCATGAAGCTAGAGAACTATTGAAAACCAACACTGGAGTACTGAACAGCCAGCTGTTTCATCAGCCTAGTTTGGGAATCATCGAAGTACGCATCCACCGTCGGGGTTCGAACCCAGGACCCTCCAGTTACCGGGCAAGCTAGCGCCTATACTATTCAGCCACTGGGAGCAAACTTCCACCAACTCCTGATTTCAGTGTGACTGGCACTAACCAATGTCATCGGTGGGGCATCCATCCTCGCACAATTGACATTTGGATGGACCTCACTGGTCATGACTTCTCAGTAGAACTCCAAGAAAGTCCGTATTTGTACTTTTTGTCTTGTACTGACATATCCGCCTTCTTATTATTCCTTTGGGTTCCTAGTGGAACATAAGGCTTCAAATGCACGTCTCCACTTGCTTTCGTCTTCTACTGTACTTTTCACCTGCATCCATTTTAGTCCATACTCTTTCAACTCCTCTTCACACGATCTCCTCCTCCATGTCACCCTTGCACTGATGTCCCACTCGCCGCTTCCATTTCGGTCTGGTTCCACTCGAGCAATGGCCTGACCCGCGATATCACCCAGCGGCCTCCTCAGCCGCGAGTGTACCATCCATCTCCACTTTCTTCTGCATATTTGTTGGCTGGCGATTGGTTTGTTCTTGTTTTGTTTGTTCCCAGTCAAAGTTTTTTGTTGGTGATTCTTTCCGGTCCGGCCATCTGATCTTCAGTATAGATTCAGCGAAGACAGTTGTTGATGAAGGTCTGCAACAGGCTGTTGGAAATATTCTTTGTGACCCGCCAAGTTTCTGATCCGTATAGAAGAATTGAATGACTTGACGTTGTTTGTATTGAAAATCCGAATTTTGTTGTTGATGCTGAGTGACGAAGATTGGTTTCCAGATTGGTTTCAGGTTGATGAGCGTGTTTCTCGCCCACCACCTGATTCTCGCTCGATTTTACATCCTCGTCCGTTCCGACAGCCTGTAGTTGAGACAATGCTCCCTAGATAAGTGAGTGAACAAAGTGACCTCTTTCAAATCCCTCCCGTTGATGGTGATTGGCTGGCTGGATGTTGCTGCTGTTGTTGTTGTTGGTTGGTTATTTTCATCACCTCCGTCTTGTCTATGTTCACCTGGAGTCCTGTCTTTGCTGTTTCTTCGACCAGTTCATCGATCGATTCTTCACGTCGGTCGGTCCAGGATATCCCTGTCTTCTCGTTTCCCACTGTCTGACGCCTAATCCAGTCGACCACAATTAGGAATATCATTGGTGATAATAAGCACTCTTGTCTGACTCGTGTGTTTACTCTAAACGCTTCGCTGAGTTTTCCTCGCCTAGATTACTAGCTCGCTCGTTTTTCTAGCCGATCTCAAGCCCGGATAAAGAGGGAGGGTTGGGCGTGGTGCTAACAACTCTCCCCCCTCAAAAAAAAATTAACTTAATCGCTACAGAAACTTCAACGTACAAATATATTAAAAATTCTAAAAATATAAACATGTTCCTCTAAGACTAATTAATTGTCTCTTTTTCTTATTCATCTTACATTTTAGGTTCAAAGGTATAAAACCTACGCTCGTTTGTTAGAAACTGAACTCTACCGGATACAACAGTCTTCCTCTGTAGCTGCAGCGCACGCAGCGGCTTTAGCTGCGGCCGCTGCCGCCGCAGCAGCATCTTCAAACTCTTTTGTTCCTTATCTTGGAGGTGGTAGCGGCGGTTATCCTAATCCTAACTCGAATACTATGGGGATTAATCCAACAGCCTATAACAACAACAGCAACAACATCAGTGGAGGAATACCATCAACGAATATGATGTTTTCTGGTCCGCCTAACAATCTACAGCAACCTCTTCTGAATCAGACAGCACCACCACCACCACCCCCAATGTATTTTGTTCCCGCTGGTGGTGGTGGTGGTGGTTTTCGTGATCGAGGTGCCAACCGTGGGGCATCATCAGTAGTGATGACACACTTAGCTGTATTAGGTCCACAAGATGCCTTAAGTGAAGAACCGGTACAGTCTACTGATACTCCTACTGTGACTACTTCTAATACGAGTGAAATTGTCGATTCTCTTGAGATGACGACACCAGCACCACCAACACCGCTACAGTCTCAACCGTCGCCTTCAATAGTCTACCCGGTGCAACCACAATTACTTCCAATGATAAATAATAATACTCCTGCAAGATACAGGACATTTATATCGCCTTATTTTGGTCAACACCAGCAACAGATGCCATCGATCAATCCATATTCACCATCTGTAAATACTGGACGTTTTATCCACAACACCATCAACAATCAAGGCGTCTACGTTTTCCTAGTCTACACTCTCAACAACTCCAACACCAGCAAAATAATCGTTTCGGAAATAATTTAATAATGAATGGACATCAACTAACTGAAGAAGATGTCTTCTTGATGAATGAGAAGTGTTCAACGACGACGACGACTACTACTGCTACTACTACGGGATCACTAGATAATTCACCATTGACACAATCTTCATTACCATCCTCGTCGACATCTCCTAATCCTGTTGGTGGTGTTTCCATGAGTGATAATACCGCTGCTAATGCTACTACTACCAGCACTACAACGACTTCTATCCCTACTACTAATAATAATATCAGTAGTAATAATAGTCTTAAATTAACCCAAAACTCTCAATCATCATCATCACCATCATCCATGTGTTCATCAAATAATCTCTTCTATGAAATTGTATAACTTTGATTTTATATGTCACACAGTTCAGTTCAATTAATAATTACAATATTTATAAGTGTATATGTATATGTGTAATTTTTGTCAAAACCTCGTTGCCGCCTGTCCGCCTCGCCTCCGTCCCCTTCTGCTCTCCATTTGTTCTTTATTTTCTGACTTCCCACGCCTAAGGATGAGGCTATCACTACTTAAATGAGTGGTGTTAGTTAGTAGTATCTGAGATCCTGTGTGTGACATCTGAATGCTCTGTGTGTCAACTAGTACTGTATTCCTCCACCCTCAGAGGAGGTGTAGGTATCCCTTCGTTTTGTGTGTGTGTGTGTGTGTGTGAGAGAGAGTGTGTCGAAGAGGCGGCGAAGCGGGTCGCGTCAGGCTGCGGGGTGTTTAGTACAATCAATCAATCACTGGGGTTTTTTTGAAAATATTTTTTGTTTTTATTTCTCTTTGCCTTTCATATTTTTGTCTTCATGTTTAGAGGTGGGCGTTGGTGGGGGTCGTGGTGATGGTTGGGTGTGTGTTTATTTTTGTTCCTTTTACTCGTTACTCCTCAGGTGTCGTCCTCCCCCGTCTCTCTTTTTTCTTCTTTTTCTGGACTTTGAGACACTTCTTGATTGTGAAGTTTTTTTTCTTTTGAAAGAGTCTTACATCACATTTTCTCGTCTGTGCATCAACCTAGTCAACTTAGTCACACTTATTAAATACCACTATTATTATTTATAATTTGTACCTTACCTTTGTACTGACTTTTTGGCTAGGGTTAAATTCAATTTTATACGCGCGTATAATAATAACGATAGCAATCATAATAATGATAATCAATTGTAATCTAAGAGGTGACGGGGGTGGGGCGCGTGTGTTTATCTCGTTCTCTACCCGTCACCCCTGTGCCGCCCCCGGCTCTGTGCTTCGCCTTTATTTTTCACTTAACGCACAATCTCTATCTATCTACCTATCTATGTACCTGTCTGTCTGTCTGTGTAGACATCGTCGGAGGAGGTGCTGAGAAAACTATGTGTATATGTTTTGTAATTGTTTTTTTCTCTCTCTCTCTTGTGATTTGTTTATCTGTTTACCGTATGTGTGTGCGTGTGTGCGCGCCTGTGTGTTTGATGTCTCATGTATTATTGCACAATCACAAACAATACACAAACAGCACTAATGACATCCTGGTTACTACAGTCTTAACAGTTAATAATATGTATGTTGTACACATGGACGCCAGGAGGAATTTCATTTTCGCTTGTGAGTCATATACTACTTAAATATTTACTGATATTTATTTATCCTATGTCTTTTCTTCAATATTATCTTTCTTATTGTATAGTTGTTTAAATGATATTTTGATCGGGATAGATGATGACGAGAGGGGAGTGTTTTTTTTTATTTTAAACCTTCTTTTCTCTACTATTGTCTTCTTGTCTTGTCTATCTTTGGTGGTGGTTGTGTTCACACGGCGATGAGTTCTATCCTAAGGACAGCGTTTTCTGCTCATTATATTGTGATGGCATTCTGTGTTCTGAGTTGTGGATCTGATCCATTTTTTGTTGATTGATCCTTGCCGATGTGTGAGTGTTAATGTTGAGCTGATCCAACGCCTTTTTTTTGCTGCTCCCGCACGCACTCACTCGCTTAACTAACTGATTGATTGAATGGCTCTTGTTGTCACTATCCTGCCTTTTTGGTGTATGAAATGGACACACGAACACGCACGCACACATATACATATTGTCAGAAATAGTCTTTCTTGATCTCTTTTCCTTCCTCAATCTCTTTTACGTCAGTCCAGTTGTAGCCAATCTTCTTTATATAACCTCGTTACGTAATATTTAGCCGTTGTAGTAGTAGTAGTAATGTCGTTAGTTTGATTGGGAAATATTCTTTTGGATTCTTCCTTACTTATGTGATGATGACGACGGTGGCACCACTAGGATCAGTGATAGCGTGTACTACAGTAACTACCTATCTTAATCTTTTCTTGACGAAGTTATTCTCTTCAAAGTGCTAAGTGCCTGTTTGTCTACCTGCTTGACAATCGTATTGGTTGTAGTAGGGATTGTTTATTCTCTCTCTTCTGGATTACTGTGGAGATGTTGTCGAAGGCTTATTTAACCATACACACACACAATCCCCTCCCCGCTCCTGCTGCAGTTATCTCTCTCTTCTATCCTATCCTCGTTTCTACACTACCCTAAGTCTCTTTCTCTCTCTCTCTCTCTCTCTCTGTTCTCTTCGTGTGGGTATGGGTGGATGGGTGTCGTGGTTTACGGCGGTGATGAATTTGATATGATATGATATATATACATATATGTATGTCTCCGTATTCCGGTTCTTCAGGTCCTCTTCTTCTGTCTTCAATTTTTCGAGTGTATCTACGCGTTTGGATGTACGTGCGTGGTGCGTACCTGTGTATGTGTGTGTCTGTCTGTGTGTGGTATCCTGGTGATTTTCTGGATTTGTACGTCTCTTTTTCTATTACTTTCATTAAAATTTATTACTATCATTACTCTGGTATATATATATATTTATATATATTCACAATATTACAATTACATTTATATATTTATGACGTAATTTTCTACGTGTAATTCAATTTAATATTATTATTATTCTTAGTTGTGAATATATATATATATACATAAATACATATATACATACAGTTACTTCATTTCTTTGTTCTGTTCCCCATGCAATCGGGTTCCACTTGAAGGTCTGCAGTGTACACTCTGACTGACTGACTAACTGGTTTCAACCTAGAACTTTGTTCCAATGTACAGCAGATTTAGTTGCCACTCTCCTTTTATGTAGCACATACTGTATGCTTTTCGAGTGTGTGGGCGGTTGTTACTTCCCGGTTGCCCACACCACTGTGGAAGTTGATTGATTCTTCGGTTACCTGAAACAGAAAGAGGGTTAGTGTTGTGTGACCACAGAGCCTAGGGGACAACTGCTTCAGACCGGTCACATACGGCTTATATGAATTGGTTTCTTAGATTGGTTCCGTATAAGTGAACTTTCCGTCTGTTACGGACCACCGTAGGTGGGGTAAGTCGGGATGTACAATTTTTGGGGTTGACCTTTTCTAATCCCCTCCCTTCGGAGTGTAGAGACAGCACAGCTGGCTGGCTGGTATGCTGGTCATCTGAGTGAGGAAACACCTTACTGCGGTTGTTACATCCCTGTTCCCCAGCAGTACGACTTCGCCCTTAGACCCACAGCATAGTGTAAGAAAGATTCTTGCACAACGTCGGTCGGTAACTGCTTTTAGTCTACTCGCTATCCTAACATGGTGGTAGGACCTGCAGGAACATTGGTTCCAACCAGTGTAGCTTGTTGGGTCATCGCGACGCGCAAGCCCCGAGACCACCACGTCAAGGTGGCAGCAGCTATCGGTCGGAGTAGCACACACACACACAAAGCAACAGAAGAGAATAAACTGACATTCAAAGGACAGATAATCAACAGAAGCATGAGGAAAAAAAGTAATGGTATGAAAGAACAAATGTAGTTCTTTTGGATATGACAAATAAGTCACAAAAGGTGAATCCATCTGCGCTAACCATTGAGAGCAATTTCTAGCCATATCACTAGCTCTCTCCAGTCTTCATTGATTCGGTTCTTACGGAGCCAAGGACCCTACCTAACCAGTGAGGCTGTCTACACCTTCCTACGTGGCTGGCTGGCTGGCTTAAACTAACTGTTGTGGATTTTATTGACTGATGAAGCCATGTTGGTTTTGGTTTGACCATCACTAAATAGCTCTCGGATCCTTCTAATGTCAGCTACTAACATTGCCCATTGTCGATGGAGGCGATCGTTTGCTAGTTTTGCATCCGTAATACATGTCCCAATTATCTCAATCGGTGTATTTTCCCAATCTCATCGATTGATTTCTCTTTCTCCTTATCTATCACTCGACCGATGCCTATCCTCAATATTGCTCACCTCATTATAGCACTTAACACGTGAGATCGGTTGCAGACACCTATGATCAGAGACAGCTAGCTAGGCTTTTCGTGTAGTCCACTTTCAATGGCCATGTCTCACTCACAGCCATAAAAGAGGATAGGGCGAAATGCCTGATGAGCAGTACACACGCCATTTTGGTCGATAACCAGTTGGATATCACGTCTACTAAGCTAGAATTGGCATATGCGAAACGAGCCCTCTGTATCCCTACTGAAATTTTGTCAGCGATCAACCCGTTGACTTTTATTTTTACTTCCTTCACGTTCCCAGTGGAATATAGGGCCTCAAGCTAGTGTCCTGAAGTTTCTGAAGCAGTGTTTAATTTTACAGGATGGGGTTGCTAGCCTCATGCCCAACCTTTCCTCTTTACCAGTCTTTAGCGAGGTAAAGGAGTACTTCAGTGGCCGTGGATCGAACTTTGAACCATGTGCATGGTTGGCGTGCATCTTAACCGCTGTGCAACCGACGCACCGTTGGTTTTGGCTGATGCGAATTCCCGGGAATAAGTGAAGTGGTCAACAAGCTCCACCAACCACTTCACTCCCTCCTTATGTTTAAGCTATGAATGAGTCAATATAGTCCAGTCCTGTAGCATAATCATACATTCGATAACGGGAAAGAATCGCGTGGCAAAGATTCGCAGATTACTGCTCCTCAAGGTGATCAGAAGATTCTGCATTTTGTCAGCCTCTTCACCTAGAAGGAGTATATCATTTGCATACTTTAAATCAACGAGACTATTATTCCCTGGCTCGTAACAAGTCAGTCCCTGAGTCGCTGAAGTGAGTTAGGGTTAAGTCCATTAATGTGTACATCCATGTTGAAATTAAACAGAAATGGAGTTAGTGGTGGGCATCTCTGACTGTGGATGCCACTGGTTCTCATCACAGCTGTTAGATGACAACTCTTCGTAAGCTGTCATCTGGCTGGCTGCATGAGTTCCAGTAGAGTGAGTGCTTTGATCAGTGCCATATATTTTCTCGGCCATAGTAGCTCTCGGTCGACGGAATCGAATGTCACCCTCAGGTCAAGAAATATGACGATTGTTGGATGCGATAACAATTTAGACTAAAGATCACTAAGTGTCTTATCTCTGAATTCACCTGTGGATTGATTTTAAGTAACTGCAACGACCCAAGCGAACGCCTATCATAAAAACCTTGATCAACCAACCAGACACACGGATAAATAGATGCAGTGCACGAATCACATTGCAAATTCCATCCAGAATTAGTAGTATTTCAGTACAGTCGTTATTATTACTATTTCCTTTAATTCCTAGAGGAACATAGTGCTTCAGCCCCCCGTCTCCATTGCGTTCGATCCTCTGCCAACGTTTTCACCCCGCTCCAAGTCTGCCCACA